AGTACTATGTAGCTGTTAGAAAAGATGAAGTCATGAAATTTACATACGAGTGGCACTACATGGAAAGTATCATGCTAAGCGAAATCAGTCAGAAAGAGAGGGACAGACAGAGAAAGATTGCATTCATCTGGGGAACGTAAAGTAACAAAATAGGAGACTAACACCCAAGAATAGCCAAGATAAGTACCAGGAGGTTTACTCCATGGCTTGGAGGCTAGCCGCACACGCTTGGGGAAAAGGCAGCTCAGATAGAGAAGGGAGCACCAAGTAAAGGGTGTTGGGAAGATCCTCCCAAGATGGGAGATGCATGCTATAGTCTATAGTAGACTACTTTCTACTATCGTAGAAAATAGACTATAGACCGAACATGATTGCCACTCTATGCCTCTTTTGTAAACCATAGCACCCAAAAGGAGAGAGAGAACAAAAGGGAATGCCCTACCACAGAGGCAGGGTGGGATGGGAGTGGTGGGGTAGTGGGAGGGATGCTGGGAGCATTGGAAGTGGAGAATGGGCACTGGTGGAGGGATGGGTACTCACTTAATCACTTATCACTTAACTTCCCGTTAGTCATCGATTTGCTCGAGCGGGCGCCAGTAACATCTCCATTTGTCCCTGTCGCGTGCTAGTGTAGCCCAATGGCATCTGTTCGCTCTGGGAACATGAAGAGCCTCAAACCGATCGTTCATGATCTTCACGAAGAAGTCTGACCATCTGGTAGGTGGGCGGCCACGCAGTCTTTTGTCATCCTGTGGAATCCAGTCAGTAACAGCTCTAGTCCAGCGGTCATCTTTAAATCTCATTACATGACCAGCCCATCTGATTTTTGACACCTTGGCAAATGAGACAGCATCCCTGATTCTTGATCGTCGCCGGATGTCGGAACTCTGGATTCTTTCTCTCATTTGAGTGAAACGTGATATTCCAAGCATAGCTCTTTCTATTCTTCTTTGGGACTCCTGAATAGCGTTCTCATCCTGTTTGCGTAGGGCCCAGGTCTCTGAGGCATTATGTTAATGCAGGAAGAACAGTGGAATCAAAGAGATGTGCCCGGAGCCGGACGTTCTTCGTCCTCTTAGCTATTTCTTCGACGTTCTTGAAGGCGTTCATTGTATAACTGAAACCCAAGCACAAAAATTTGTAAGTCTACAACTGTACCTCATGGTGTTTCACTAATAAAAATTTTTTTAAAAAGACCCTAAAAAAAGTGTTTGGCTTCTGAAATCTGCCAGGGTAGAGATGACACCAAGCGCTGTAAGACCTCCCCGTGCCCACACTTCTCAGCCACGACGCTGCTTCTGCATTTCCGAGCGTGGAGGCACTGGCAGCCCCTGGCATGGTTTCCTGGGCGGCCCCACACCTGAGAAACGCAGGCTCCACACTGGACCGACTGCCCTGGGACCAGATCCTGCAGCACTCATTGTTCTCACGTGTCCCTGAGACGTCCCGTGCGTCCGCTGCGGAACTCATCCCCAGCTGTCCTGTCAGGGTTGGGAGCGCTGGGCTGATCTGCGTGTTCATCCCGACGCATGCGGGGTTTTCGCCTGATATCCCTGGGCCGCAGAGGAGCCGGCTACTGGAAGGCAGGAAACCAGGGACGTCCAGCCCGCCACCCCTTCGGACTTGCTTCTCAAGCCTCTTTGCGCCTCTCAACTTCCTTTATTTCTTTCCTTTGTTCATTCATGGTTGATTGTTCACCGAACATCCGTTAGGCAGGACCCTGAGAAGCTCCCCAGGGCCAGGGCAGGGCAGGGACCCCCAGATGCCCAGCATCTCCCTGTGTCCCCGTGTGGTCTGTGGTTTGGCTCTGAGTTTCCCTTCCCTAAGACAGTGCCAGCTGGAACTCCCTAGGGACCCCTTTTATTTTTATCTATTCATTTGGCTTGGGGGCCACACCTGGCTGTGCTCAGGGCTGACTCCTGGCTCTGTGCTCAGGGAATCATTCCTAGAGGGTTTCGGGGACCATATGGGATGCTGGGGATCAAACCTGTGTCGGCCGCATGCAAGGCCAGCGCCCTCCCCTCTGTCGATGGCTCCGGGCCCTGGTGTCCCCTTTAACGTCTGTCCCCTCCTTACAGGCCCCGTCTTCAAAGGCAGTCAGGCCTGGTGGTCGGCACCTCACAGGGCCTTGGGTCATGTTTCTGACCATCTCACCAAGCCAAGGAAGGACAAGACTGGTGGTGAGGGAGAAAGTTGAGATTTGTAGCTATTCCCTTTGTCCAGGAGGCAGGCCTTCCCTAGAAGCTTCCAAGAAGACTAATATCGTCTCATTGGCCACCTCTTACTGCAAGGGACTGTTTAGTGCATTGTCTTCCTGGAGAGGCTGTCCTATCATGGGTGAAGAATGGGGGGCACACCAGTCGCTGCTCGCAATGACCGTCTCCCACCCACCATGGGCGTCTGTGCTCCCCACCTGCGACCATCCTTAACCGGATTGGTTTCCCACCGGGGCTGACTGGGAGAGGCGCCCTCCTGCAGCACCAGCTTTGCCAGCCACATTACACTGAACGCCCCTCAGGGCTGGGCTCTCCTGCCGCTGCAGCTGACTTGTTGACGTGCCCACGGGACGTGGGGGTCTTTCACCGCCGGGCCCCGGGCTCTGGGTGGAGAGGACACACGCACAGGCCAGAAGTTTCCAGCAGGTTCCCCGCTGCCTGTTCTCCATACCCTGCTGGGGCCCTGTCAGAACCACTGCGGCGTGGAGCTGGCCCGGAGCCCCTCGTTCTCTCCCTGGGGCCTTCTCATCTGTCTGGGACCCCTCCCACTTTTGGGCACGCGGCAGGTCTCGGCTGCCTAAAGCCAGTCACATCTGCAGCTTCAACCTCAGGCAGTGGGGTCAGCCGCAGAGAAGGAGATGGACGGACACATGGGGACTGTCCAAGCTTGAGGTGGCCTCTCGGGCTGGACATTCACGCAGGAGAGCGCCACCCCCGCCGTGGCCACTCTCTCGGGAGCCGCTGTTGAGGTGACAGGACAGCAAGGACTTATGTCCTTGGGCCCGGCGGCCCGAGGACGCAGCTGGGGCTCCACACTGCTGGCCAGCAGCGCCCGCGTGCCCAGGGAGGCCCGGCACACTCCAGCTCCAACCCTGCCCATGTCACCCTCAACACATCAGGGACCTGAGCTGTTTCATTCTCTTCTTTCCTGGGCATATTTTTGCTTTCCCTGTAGTCGATTGGACTCTTCTGGGCACATTTTTGCTTGCCTGGATTCTGTTTTCAAAGACCTAAACTGTCCTGTCCAGGGGACAGTCCAGTGTGGGGCCGTCGTTGGGAAGAGTCTCCCACACTTGGCAGCTGTACTCTGACCCTGTCGCGGAACCCCACAGCTCGGTGGGTCCCTGCAAACATGATGAAGGATGTCCCGTTTCCTAATTGAATCAGACTAATGAGGAGTGTTAATTGGGCGCGGGCCCAGTCGCTCCTTCTCTGCCTCATTAGTCTGAGCTGCCCCCCACCCGCGGGGACCCTGTTCTTCTTTAGCTGGGACCTGGGTGCAGCCACCTGCCAGTGCGGGGAGCCCAGTTTCCTTCTAGAGCCTGCTCAGGTCTGTGTGTGGCCCTCCCTGTGCCGGGGCCAGGCTCCCCTCCTGAGGGCACCCTCCTCTGTGCCCCCCGGGCGTAGGAGTACCAGCAGCACCTGGGGGTGACGGCCACAGGGGGGGACGCCTAGGGCAGGGGGTGCCAGTGCTGCAGTTGGGGGGTAGTGGGGTCGAGCCAGTGGGCCCAGTGTCCAGAGAGGGGCTGGGAGTCCCGGGTGCGGGTGGGTTTGAGAGCAGGCCTGGAGGGGTGGGGCATGGGGTGGAGTGGGCGCCCTCTGGAAAGGTGTGGACAGACAGAGGTGCCCTAGAGTCCTGGGCCGAGAGGGGGCCTGTGTGCTCTCACTCCTGGTGGCCCGTGTCCCCTCTCTCCCAGGTGGCCCTTGTCCCCTCACACCTGGTGACCAGGAGCCCTGTGAGGGTGGCACAAAGGTTCCCTGGAGAGTGAAGCAGAAGGTCATGAGGCGCCTTTGGCCTAGAGCCAGGCTGTGGACACCACGCACCGCCACGAGTGACCCCTGCTCACTGCTGGGTGTGGCTAAAAGTGACACAAAGGTGGAAATTCCTCATGACCCAGTGATACCACTCTGGGCCTCTATTTTCATGGTTCCTGGGAGCTGGGGGTACCTGGCTGCTCCCCGCAGTGCTCCGGGGCTGCCGTGTGGTGCTGGGACAGAGCCGGGCTCGGCAGCACTGAGGATTTAACCTGGGAAGGTGGAGGGTGTCATTGGGGATCAGTGACCTCCGGACCCACAACCCCCCACGCGAGCCCTGCCCCAGCAGCACTCATACCCGGAGCTGCCCGGGCGGCACCCCCATCCCTTGCTTGGAGTCCCCAAGGAGGCCCCCACGCGGGCAGCCTGTGGGTGGGGGGGAGCGGGAGAGTGCAGAGCAGCTGTGTAGGTGCCATCCTGGGTGCACCCAGAGTCGGGATCTTCCTGCAGGTCCCCTGGCAGCTGCCTGGCTCCAGCCCTGCCTGGTCCCTCTTGCTCAGGCCAGCTTGGCGGGGGCAGCGCGTGGACCTTGGGCCTGCAGGAAGCGCTAGGAGAGTTTCAGCGGAAGCTCGCAGGAGTGGTTGGTGCCTCGTCTTCCCTCGATGGGGCTCCCCGGGCAGGCTGTGCCCATGGCCAGAGCCGCCAAGCTGAGCGGGTAGAGCGGGTGTGTCAGCCGGACCTGCCCACAGCCCCTGCAGTGCAAACCCGAAGCCAGGTACCCAGGAGGGCCAGGGGCCGGCCTTATTTCGGGAAAGACAGTCCTAGGATGGGGTGAGGGCTGCAACCCCAGATGGGATGAACAGACGGACATGTCAGCACTCGCCACACCCCCAGGCTCCACCTGCCCTGACCTGGCTCGGGGGCTCCGGGGACCCCAGCTGGAGCACTGGGCAGTGTGGGGCCCCGAGGCAGGGTCCTGTGTGGGCAGGTGCAGCCGGACACGCCCTGACTCTCCCTGTGCTGCCCCAGGTATGCATTGTGCAGAAGCGCGACACCAAGAAGATGTACGCCATGAAGTACATGAACAAGCAGAAGTGCATCGAGAGGGACGAAGTGCGCAACGTGTTCCGCGAGCTGCAGATCATGCAGGGGCTGGAGCACCCCTTCCTGGTCAACCTGTGGTGAGTGGCTGGGGGGGGGCAGCCTGGAGGGGCTGGGGCCCACCCGTGGCAGGTGCCTTGCCTGGGAAAGGCTCCAGGTTCTGAGGGCGGGGGACCTTTGGGGAGGAAATTTGATAAAAAAAAATTAACAGTAATAAGACTTTTTTATTCATATATTTTTTATTATTTGCTTTTTGGGTCACCCCTGGCAATGCTCAGGGCGCACTCCTAGCTTTGTACTCAGGAACTGCTCTTGGTGGTGCTCAGGGGACTCTATGGAATGCCGGGGGTAGCAACAGGGTCAGCCACGTGCAAGGCAAATGCCCTCCCTGCTGTGCTTCACTTTGGTCTCAAGTTTATTGTTTTATTATTTATTTATTTATTGCTTTTTGGGCCACATCCAGTGATGTACAGGGGTTAATCCTGGCTCATGCACTCAGGAATCACTCCTTGCGGTGCGCGGGAGGCCATATGGGATGCCGGGAGTCGTACCTGGGTTGGCCGTATGCAAGGCAAATGCCCTCCCCACTGTGCTGTCGCTCCAGCCCCCTCGAGTTCATTGTTTTAAAGACAAAACTCCTGTTGTTTGAAGTGCTGTGGTTTACCATACTATTAGTACTATTTTTATGCGCGTGGTTCTGACACCACGAGCGTCACGACAGCACCCACCTCCCACCCCCAAGTACCCCAGCTCCTCCGTTGAAGGCTCCCCACTCAACGCTGTCGCTCAGTTCTCCCGTCGTGTTGCCATCGCCCATTGTTGCTCCCTTGCTGGGGGTCTTTAGGTCCCACCGATGAGACCGTTCCTTGTCTGTCCTGTCCTTTCTCTGACCCCACTCTGTGCGACCCCCTGGTCAGTTCTGTGGACACCTCCAGAACCAGGGTGGCGCTGTTGCAGGCCAGCCACTCCACTCGCCCCGACCCACACTGCAAGGGGTCTTCGGTCTGGTGTGGGGCCAGAGGGACCCCTCCTGGCGGGGCTCTGGGAGCCACAGGGGCTGCCAGGGAGCAAACAGGGTTGGCTGGGTCCAGTCCAGCGCCCTGTGCTGGCTCTCCAGCCTGCAGGTGACAGAGAGCATTTCTCAGCAGAGAAGCAGCAAACCCCAGCAGGGAAGGCGGGTCTCTCTGGGGAACACACCCAGGGGTGTCTCTGAGCACTGACCCCCTTGTCGGCATGACCTTCTGGCATCCAGAGACCAGGACCCCTCTGCCTTTTCAGGCGCAGTGTGGGCTGGGGCACTGTCGCTGCCGTCACTGCAAGCTCGGTAGGGTGCTGGCCGAGTGCCCCCACCACGGCCCCTCTCCAGCTCCTGCACACTTGTTGTCCTTCAGCTCTGGGACGTGGGGGGGCGGGGGCAGCCCCCTGGTTTTCAGTGCTCTGATCAGGGTGTGCAAGACACCCACAGGTTTGTGGCAGGTGCCCTCGGGGCCTGCGAATGTGCGGAGAGTAGGAAACTGCAAGTGTCCAGCTCCATGGGATCCCACCTCAGACCCTCCCGCTTAGTTTTCTCACCTGTTCAGAGAGAGAATACCGCTGTTCATGGCTCGACTGCTTGGAGTTGACCAAGAGGAAAGACTTGAATGCATATTTTCTGTCAAGGTGAATAGTGTTTACTTAAAGAAAGTGTGTGTGTGTGTGGTGTGTATGTGTGTGTGTGAGAGAGAGAGAGGGAGAGAGAGAGGGAGAGAGAGAGGGAGGGAGAGAGAGGAAGGGAGAATAAGTGCGTGGACGGATGGAACGAAAGGATATAAGGACAGTGGGAGCTCCAGAGGGAAGTGAACTTGGACGGTTTGGGATTCATATCATCTTTATTCTTTATTCTTTATCTCTTCCTTTATCTTGGCTTCCTGGGTCACACCTGGTGGTGCTCAGGGCTTACCCTGCACCTCCTGGAACCCTGACTTTGTGCCATGAGAATGTGGACAGAGGGTCCACGGGGTGCCCACCCACAGCAGTCACCCTGACCACTCTTCCCCTGAACTCCACTGCCCTGGGTGCTTACAAGCTGCCTGGGCGGGTCGCCATCTGCCGTGTTTTCGCCGTGTCTTCGCCGCTGCCCATTTCTTGATTCCCCTTTCTCTCCCGCCCTGTCGCAGCAGCTCCAAGGCCGGGGGCTTGTCCAGTGCCATCCCTGTGGGCTGGCGGACCTCCAGCGTGGCCCGGCGCACGCCGCGTGGGAGGCCGTGGCTGCTCGGCTGAATTGGTTGTTTGCCCTCAGTCCACAGTGACTCACACAGGAGACTCTCCGTGGGGGAGAGGAGGCGAGGTCAGTCTGCTGACAGGGCAGAGCCAGCTGGACTCTCCCGGGGTATCCCAGAGTTCCGACGGAAGGTGGATGGACCCTGTGCTTCTGCCCCCACCCAGCACCAGGCGAGGCTCACAGGGTGAGAAGTCACCCAGAAGCAAGCACCCTGGACAGGCAGACCTTCCAGTGCTGTGACCTTACAAATCCTGTCTGACTCTCACTTTTAAGCCTGCCCCGACCCCCCCACTTGGGCCTGCATTTCCCTTTGGTTAGCCCTGGGTAATTCGGTCTGTCCCTGGCTTCTGGGATGGGTCGCCTGCCCCCAGTCAGGCTGGGAATCGAGGCGTCCCTCACATCTCTCCATTTTCTCATTCATGTCTCTTATCCGGCCTTTTGGGTTCCCCTCCCCCCGTCCACTTCTGCCCGCTCAGAGCCTGGTCAGCCCCGTGCCCTTGGACCCACCAGAGAAGGGGTGAAACAACATCGCAAAGGGATGGCCCGCTTGGCTGGCAGCTGGTTCTGGGATGTTGGTAGAGGCCCTTCCTGCAGCCCTTTGGGAGTGCCATGCAAAGGGAGATTTCAGCAGTCGAGCCGGGGAAGAACCAGTCCCGTTTTGCTAAAGGGAAGACAACCTTGGGGGCACGGAGCAGGAAGGGGACTCACTGGATGTCCCTTCACTCCCTAAGCTCGAACCCCTGCTTACCCAGGCATCTGCCCAAGCCCAGGACGTCCACCATCAAGATGGAGATGGATGGACAAGGGGCTGGCAGGGACAGGCTAACGGCCACCCCAAGAGCAGACCTGCAGAGAAGCAGGAGGGGCAGCAAGCAGAGGGGTGGGGGGTGGTCACTGTCCTGGGCCTGCCTCACGTGGCCGCAGCTACCCAAGGCAGCTGAGGGGTCAGGCCGAGCGCCCCCTGGGGGTCAGGCTTCACTCTGTGAGTTGGGATTCTCCCCACCCTCTTTCGTTCCTTTCCTTCTCTCGCACTTTGCTGCAAACGTGGCTTGGACACACATGCTCACACATGTGTGCGCGCGCGCACACACACACACACACACAAACACACTTTTTTTTAGAATTACACTAAGAGATGGTATCGCCACGTGAGGAATGCATGTGAAAACCTCAAGGGAGTGTGTGAGGTGGCGGTTCTCCTGAGCTGAGCCAGGTTCCGGGCACCCTGGTCACCTGGATGCCTGGTGGGATGCTGTGGGCATGGGCACTGCAGGGAGTAGGCAGGGAGTGTGCTGGGGGACAGGGCGGGTTGGGAGCATGGCGGGGGGGATAGGGCGGGGGGTGGGGCACTGCAGGGGTAGGGCAGGCATATGAGGCCGCTACTGAGTGGGGGGCAGTGGCCAGCAGGGAGGTGGCCCTGCAGGAGGTCCTGAGGGCCGACACAGGGTGAAGCTGCTAGGAGACCCCCGACATCCCCCCCTCTGAGGCTCTGCTCTCACGACCCCCCTTCTCTCATTTGCTGTGTGGCAGAGCAGTGGATGCCCCGCCCTCCCCTCCCCTCCCCTCCTTTTCTTTTTCCTCCCCTCCCCTCCCCTCCCTTTTTTTCTCCCCTCCCCTCCCCTCCCTTTCTTTTTCCTCCCCTCCCCTCCCCTCCTCTCTTAGACTCTCCTTTCTCCTCTCTTCCCCTCCTCTCCCCCCGCCCCCATACTCTCTTTCCTTTTAGATCAAGAGGCCTTGGTCCCACTCCTGGGATTCCCGGCCCACCAGGCTGCGATTCGGTGCAGGGTCTGGGTGCCAGGGATTCCCGGGGTACCCACGAGGTGCTTGGAGGTGCTTTGGGAGGCCCTGTAGACCACAGGAGGCTGTGGTGCTCGGGTCCGTGCAGGCATCCGCTGCAGACAGGGCTTCTGCTCCAACCCCTGGACTAGCTCTCTGGCCCCCACTCAGTGATTTTGAGCGGACCTGTGGATCCTGGTATGTGCTGGAGGTGGGGGCGGATGGGGGTGGGCAGCAGACGCTCGTCCCGCCGCTCCCTCCTTCAGCCCATCCCCAGGCCTCTTTAAGCCCTGCCATGTCCCATGTCGCTTGGTTGGGAGGGACCTTGATGTCCATGCGGAGGGGATGGGCCATTGCTGGGTTCTGGAACTTGATCACGAGGAGCCCCGCAGGGTGGAGACACCAGCATGAGGGGCTGGAGATGGACGTGTGCTAGTCAAGGGCAGTTATGCCTCTTGCTTAGCGTCTCTGTTTGTATTGATGATTATATAGATTTTTATTCTTTCATTCTGGGCTTCCTGAGACTTTTTTTTTAATCTTTGGGTTTGAGTGTCAGTTTTGCCTGCTGTATTTTGGGAGCCATCAAGGTGCTGAGATATTGATTTTCTTGGTGCTTGATGTGTGGGTAATTATATTATTAAATGTATCAGCAGTAGGACTGTCTTGCCTGGAATAAATCCTACTTTGTTGTCCTTGCAGTAAAGTGAGGGTAAAGCTCAGACTTACGGTTCACTGGATGGCCCGTGTCTGCATCTATCACCCTGTCCAGACCCTGCACCATTTCCACATCACACTGAGAATGACACAAAAGTGTGTGAAACCAGGGCCCGGTGCCTGGAACAGTGGATTCCATTTGATGTTGGTTCTTAAGATCACTGAAACACTGAAGTGTAGACCCTCCAGGAGGCCACCGTGCTCTGCCAGACGGTCTCCTGAAAAGTCCTGACCTGAGGCCCAGGCAGCGACGAGGGGGCCTGGTCAGCCGCTAGGGGAGCAGAGAACGGTGAGGCCTGAGATTCTCCGTCCGGCTGCTCAATTTCTCAA